CACCTGTTTTCCTGCCCCTCGTGCTACTTGCAATTCAACTGGCCTTTGGATTTCATATTATTCCTTAGTATTCTTCCAGGAAAGTCTCTCTTTTTGCTAAGCTCGTTGGGCTTTAGTTACTTGAATTACAGTAGTCCTAACTATTATAATTGCACAGGATGCTAAGTTGATTCTTTCAAAGAGCTTTACCAGGCTTCTACTTAAATGTACTATGTGATGTGTAAATTGTGGGCACACGGTTAACCCAAAGGTTAACCCTCTAAAATACAGATCGAGGTGAGGCATCAATCCCAAAGATAAAACTCAAGCACACATCCAAAGTCAAAAGATGATTTCACACAGAGTCAGAATTAGAGGTAAACTTTTAAGGCCACCTCATCCAGTTCCCATCTGATACCTTTCTACTTCCCAAAGGACTTCAACCCATTTTCAGAGTATTGTCAACAGATCTTTCTAGGTTGAACCAAATCTGCTTTCTTGTAACTTCCAACCACTGGTCTTAATTATATACCCTAGAGCTCTACAAAATAGATCAAAGTCTTCTTCCAAATGATAACACTTGAAATATTTAACATCAAAATACTGTTATTATTCTTCTTACTTATTGAGCAATTACTGCTTGCTAGCGCATGCTCATTGCTTTTATTTCTCATTGCACGCTGAGAAGGTGATAGCACCCAGAGCCTCATTTTACAAATAAGGATCCTGAGACTGTGTGGGATGGAGCTGAGGGTGGAGAGTGAAGGAAGACAGGTCATGAACTAGGAGATGGATTCTCCTATATCAGTACCTTCCAGCAAGAACCAAGAATCTGTACCTGGCCTTCCACGTCATCCGGAACTTCTGTATGTCACAAAGGGAGAATGGGACACTCTTCACAGTGTGTTGGCTTGATTTATTACTTTGAATGTCTCACCATGTAGGCCTGTGATAGGTGGGCCTCCACGTATACTCCTGCTCTGAGCCAGGCCAATGTTAGGGTCCAGCCCGGTGGGAACTCCAGGAGAGACCATCTCTTGGTGAATAGCAGCTGAACATTCTCTTCCATCTCAACCCCATACTGTTTACCCTTCAGAGTCTACTGCCTCGGGGTTCCTGCAAGGGTGGGGGAGGTGGGGCTTTGCCTTTTATGCACATTTCTTTCTCACTCTCACCAGCTTCTGCCCCTCCACTCTTGGATGCCCTAAGCCAGCGTGGTTAAACTCCCAGGTCAACATGTGGGGAGCACATCAGTTTTCTACCACTTTATAACAAACCACCCCGAAACATACTGGCATGAAACAGCCACTATATTATCTTGACAGTTTATATGGGCGGCAGTTTGGGCACCGTGAGGATAGATCTCTCTGTCCCACAATGTCTGATACCTCAGAAAAGAAGACTTGATGGGTTGGTGCAACCACCAGGGGCTGGAATCATCTGGAAGTTCTGTCGCTCACACAGCTGATGGTTGATATCAGCTGTCAGCTGGGGCCGCAGTTGGCTGTCGGCCTACACATTGCCTCTCTATGTGGTCTTTCCACATGGCTAGTTTGGGCTTTCTCATAGTATGGTGGCTGGATTTCAAGAGCCCAAAGACAGCAAGGTAGAAATGCATGCATTCTTGTGCTCTGACTTCAGAAGTCACATGACAATGGTCTCTGCCATACTCTATTGATTGAGGCAGTCACAAAGGTCTTCCCAGGTTTAAGGGAGAGTCGTGGACCCCACCACTCAATGGGAGGATTGTCACAGTATACAAAGAACATGTGAGGGGTGCCCTAGTGGTGCAGTTGGTTGAGCATCTGACTCGGTTTCTGCTCAAGTCATGATCTCAGGGTCCTGGGATCGAGCCCCGTGGCCGGCTCTGTGCTCAGCAGGGAGTCTCTTGGGATTCTCTCTCTTCCTCTCCCTCTGCCCTTTCTGCTCGTGCTCTCTCTCTCTCAAATAAATAAATGAATCTTTAAAAAGAAAAAAGAAAGAACATGTGGGATGGGAGATATTGCTGTGGCCATTTTGGGAAAGAACAATTTGCCACAGGGAGGAAAAGAAGGGGGAAAAAAAGAACTCCGTATTGGATACTCTGTACCAAGAGCCATGGGCCTCACCATGTGGGTGTCTCTATTCTGATTTTGCAGATCAGAAGGCTGACTCAGACAGGTTCAGGTACTTGCCCAAGGCCACATAGAAAGTGATGGTGTATACCAGTGGATCTCAAACTTTAGTGTGTTCATTGTTGGACACCACCCCCAGAGATTTCAATTCAGTAAGTCTGGGAAGGGACCAAGAAGTCATATCTCTCACAAGTCCCTAGATGGGGCTGCTGATGTTGATCTAGTGAGTACCCTCTGAGAACTACTGGCACGCTTTTTGAATCCATCCCTGTGTAAACCCCATTGTACAGTAGGTGGCAGAGGGCAATGTTATCCCTCACCCAGGGCCAGAGAAACAGGATAATGAACTGTAAGCATCATGTCTTTAATTCTAAGAGAAAACTTCAAGTATGCATCAAGATGAGATTTTCTTTCTCCCTCATCAACTTCTTTCTCCCTCTCTCCCCTCACTCCCGGAAGTCTTCAGTAGAGCAGTAGGAAAGAACAGACTTTCTCAGCAAAATAGCCTTCTAAAGGAATGCTAGGAGAGGCCATCAATAATAACACAAGAAAGCTGAAGATGCTTCACTATGAAAATCTAACGATGTCCTCTTCCACTGATACTGAAGGTTGGAAGTAAGAGGTGTGCCTGGAACCCAAAGGACCTGACCTGGAGCCTTCTTCATGGAATGGGACCTTTTGAGGAGGCCAGAGGGGTCAAAAGAGAGCAGAGGATCCTGGCAGGAGGAGAAGATGGGGTAGTGAGTAGTCTTAAGGGCTTCTCACCCTGTATTTCTAGTTCTTGTGCATCTAAGATTGCATTTTCCAGCCCGCCTGTGGTTGGGTGGGACCAGGTAGGTAGTTCTGGCCAATTAACCCAAGAAGTGGTGTTGCTTCTGTGCTAGAACACTTAATTCCACTGAGAGATCCTTCAGAGCTCTCTCCCCTCTGCTACGGTGGCTGGTAATGTTCATGATGGTGATCGCTCTATCAACCGGGCAGCACAGATGGGCCCATGATGCCAACCCATCATGGATGCGTGCAGCGAGCGAGCCACAGAGATTTGCTGAGATTTGAAGGGTTTTTGTTACTGCAGCAAGAACCAGCCTTTCCTAACGGATACAGGAGAAAGAGAGAGAAGTAACATCCAAGTGTCTCTCCAGGGAGCATTATGATAGGCCCAAACAGACCGACTGGAAGAAATAAATAAATATTTTTTACCATCCTCTGGCTGTTGTAAAATGTGGACCTTATGGTAGGTTCTTCTGCATCTCTTCCAGGTTTTGCAGGCTAATCAAAGGGAATTTGGGCTGTATGCTCTCTGTCATTCCCAACCCCCACCACACAGATCTTGTCTGAAGGGTGACTTCCATACTGGCCTACAGCCAGACTCAAGACTCAGATTTTAAGGCTCTCCCCTCCCCCACTTATCCCCGGCTCTAGGTCTGCTTGGCAATATACTCTGTCTTCTGCAGGTTGACGAAGATGCCAAGTCTTTGTCAGTGCAGTGCAATACATATTTCCCCACCACCTGCTCGCCGAGTCTCCTTTGGAAGATGCTCGGGGCTGACAGCCAGCACGCGCGGCATTTCTCAAAGCGTGCCCTGCCAGGCAGGATGAAGGGGAAACTTTATGCTGCTGGGTTCCCACCCCCCAGCACCCCACCAATGATCAAGGGGCCTGGTTCAGACCATCATCTCACCCGATGGAGACAGAGGGCCTGAGTCCAGGCAGAAGCAGCTGAAACCCAAGCCTTGGGGGGGCGGGCTGAGGGAGGGGGTGGGCTGGAGCTAGCCTAAGCCCCTCCCCCCCACCATCTGCTCCTCAAGGTTTTCACTGCTATCTGATTTTTAAAAATAAGTTCAGGAGAAAATAAACAAAGCAAAATAGTGAAAAACAACATGAAAGGCCGAAACGATTTATATTTAGACTCAGATTTTTTAAAATATATTTTCACCGCCTTCAGCTCTATAGTCCTCTGTTTTTCATCAAACTTTGAAAAAGAGACCCAAAACAATTTTGGCATGCCCTTTGTGCTCTTAGGGTCACTCTAGGAGTCTCCGTTTGGCCCCTCCATGCCTTCCTAACATCACCCCAAACCCCACCCCAGGCTCCATACGGAACTGAAATTTCCTATATGGACAGTAGCCCTTTTTTTTGGAGCCACCCACTACCTTTGAGCATACTCCCTATATTTGGGTTATTTCCCCCTTCACGGTCTGCATTTCCCCAAGATACTTTTCCATCCTTCTATGCAACAAAGACATGGTCATGTGATTTAGGCTCAGCCAATCAGAAACACCTTCTTGGGATATGGATTCAGGAGTGACTCCAAGTATCAGGCCCAGCACAGAATCCACTTAGTAAAAGATGGCTGTGTAGACATCTGGTTTCCAGCGTAGACACCAAACTGCCAGGGGCAGAGGTTGCATCTGTAGTAGGGTCCTCGGCCTGCCTGGCATTGTCCTAAGAAGTGGCCAGATTGATTAATTTCCTCCTTCAAAAAGCAAACGAACAAACAAACATTAATTGAGCACTGCTGTGTTTCAGGCAGGCCGTGATAGGACCCTGCCCTCATGGGGTTTATAGTACATTCAAGGAGCTCGACTTTAACCAAGTCATCACACAAACTAATGTAATGCTGCAGTTGCAGCAAGTGCTCCGAGGGAAAAAAGAGAGTAAACAGGTGCTTTGAACTTGGGAGAGCTGATCCCATTGGGGAGGTAACAAAGGCTTACTGAGGAAATGACAATTGCAGAAACAATGCTACATGGTCATAAGAAGATTACATTTCCCAGCCTTTCTTGCATCCAGGTGGGCCCACGTGACTAGGTCTTGGCCAATGGAGTAAAGGCAGAAATGAGGTAAGCCAAATATCCCACATGCAATCTTCTATATTCTCACTTTTCCATCTCCAAGATGGCAGAGGCAGACGATGGGGGAGATCCTGGATCCCTGAGTGGCTGCTTCGAGTTGTCACCTGGGAGAGCTGAGAGACACAGAAGACTTTAAAGGTAGTAGGAAGGGGCGCCCGCGTGGCTCAGTTGGTTAAGCGGCTGCCTTCGGCTCAGGTCATGATCCCAGGGTCCTGGGATCAAGTCCCGCATTAGACTCCCTGCTCAGTGGGGAGTCTGCTTCTCCCTTTCCCTCTGTCCCTCCATTGGTGCTCTCACTTTCTCAAATAAATAAATTCTAAAAAAATAATAATGGTAGTAGAAAACAGACCTTTGTTGTGTTAGGCCACTGAGTTTCCAAAGGCTGTTTGTTACTACAGTTTAGCCTGTCCTACTCTAAGTAATACACAGTTGGGCAGAGAGGTAAAAACGAATTGGGGTTAAATATATAAAGAGAAAGGAGATGAAAACATTCTAGCCAGAGAGAATGGCCCTAGGCAAAGGCTTTTGGCAGGAGGGAGACAGCAAGAAGGAGGAACTGGGAAAGGCCAATGAGGGTGGATGGAGGGAGAGACAGTGGGGTTCAAGATAAGGCTCTGGAGGTTGGCAGAGGGATGAGCCATTGGCCAAGGGAAAGAGTTATGTCTGCAAGAGTCGTGCGTGCTTACATTCCCACTGCCCAGATACTCTGGCTGGGGTCCTGTCTGTTTGTTTTCAAGCCAGAGACCCTGGAGTTCTTCACTGTTAGCCTTCCTCACTCCCAGATGCTGATGGCCTTGAGCAGAAGCTGTACTTTTCCATTCTACAGTAAGCTGCCCACATCAAAGCCCAAGAAGCCACAGGCATTTGGGGAGTCGTGGGTCAGATATTTAATTATTCTAATCTAGAAGTCTATTCTCCCCACACTGCCAAGAACACAAAGTTCCTTTTTGAAAAATGGGGTAGTTCATTGGAAGGCTTGAATCTCATCCTTGATCACAAAGCTCTCAGACTCACCTCAAGACCTCCAAAGCTGGAGAACACACAGAAACCTCCCCTCACCTACAGTAATGGACCATGCAGGGGGCCTCCTGCTTTTGCAGGCAAGGATGCAGAGGGTGGTGTTAGTTGTATGCTGGTTTTATTTATTTTTAAGAAAAGCCACCTTTAAAATAGAGAGATGAGAGTGGACATATATTTCGAAACAACAACTTTTGTTGATCTGATTAAATCAGATAAAGAAATTACTATAAAAATATTGCCTCATCTACAAAGCTTAGGATATTTTTTCCCCTTTTGCTCTTTTTTTTTTTTATCTTTGAGAAAGATAATGAAAGAGGAAGCTTGAAACCCCATTTCTATTGATGTTTGAACACACAACTGCTGGATTTAAGAACCAGAGGAGATCAAAGGGAATGGGTCCCATTTTGATAAAATTATAGCAGCTCTGGCAAAGGGTGTGGGACTCATTTAGGAACTCGGGCGGCAAGGAGTTGTTACGCACCTTCATTTGAGCCAAGGACAGAAGGAAAAATGCCTGGGATTCAGGGGGATTAATTAGGAGTGTGGCTAATAATATTATAGCAGCTGAACACATGTTCGGCTGATGCCTTTCCCTCCACAACACCTTCAAGCTCCCCATATCAGTCTCAGCTGAAGGAGAAATGGATGGTGATGACTCTAGTCTAGTTCCAAAAGAGACTTCTATTCTGAAAATTTAACTGGCCTCGGGTCTTTACATCTGTTCTTATTGGAATCTGGGGTGAGAGATTGAGACAAACAAAGAGTTGGAAGTACAGGGCGCCTGGGTGGCTCAGTTGGTTAAGCGACTGCCTTCGGCTCAGGTCATGATCCCGGAGTTCCGGGATCGAGTCCCGCATCGGGCTACCTGCTTGGCAGGGAGTCTGCTTCTCCCTCTGACCCTCCCCCCTCTCATACTCTCTCTCTATCTCATTCTCTCTCTCAAATAAATAAATAAATCTTTAAAAAAAAAAAAAAAAAAAAAGAGTTGGAAGTACAGTGGCGGGTAAGGAACCCCAAACATTTCATATCAGCCTTGACTAAATTGCTTAGATTTCTGTTTTCCCTCCACCCACCAGTCCAGGTGGGGGCTCCTCGCCTGACACCTGATTATCCAGGGATGAGGCTGTTGGACAGGTGTGGCAAAGCAGGTGGAAATCTGGGGGAAAAACCCACCTGGGTGGTCCTCCTAAACACAACCAATGGCTGCGTTTGCTGGCTGGTGCTGATATTAAGAACTGATGATCTGGTTATTGTAATAGCGCCGCCTCAGTGACAGATGGTAGCTCGCTTGCGGTGAACACAGCATAACTATAGTTGTCGAGTCACTCTGTTGCACATCTGAAACTAATGTAACATTGTGTATCAACTGTACTTCAATTTAAAAAAAGAATTAGGGACGCCTGGGTGGCTTAGTCGGTTAAGCATCTGCCTTGAGCTCAGGTCCTGATCCCAGGGTCCTGGGATCGAGTCCCACATGGGGCTCCCTGCTCTGCGGGAAGTCTGCTTCTCCCTCTGCCTGCAGCTCCCCTGCTTGTGCGCTCTCTCTCTCTCTCTCTCTGATAAATATATAAAATTTTTAAAAAGTAAATAAAAAAAGAATTAAAGGAAATCATAGGGAAAGAACTAAACAATAGTATGAAAATTATGTCTCTCCAAGTAGAGACAAAAAAGCGCCCCTGCTTATTTGTATTAAATAGTAACATGGACATTTCAGGATGCTGTCCTAATCCTTTACTCCTAAATCCATGCTAATTTAAAGAGCAGGAGCTTAAAAAGCCTTGATAACCATTTTCATCCTAACTAGTGATTGCAAATGAAAATAAACACTCATGGATACAACTTTTGACAGTCAGTTGAAGTGGGATTCCATGCATACCAAATGATTTTAATCTTGGCTTAATTCAAATGTAACTAGGAAGGTGAACTAATTTCAAAAAGACTGTAGAATTATATTTTAAAGCATAATTTATCCCTGTTTTCTACTGCCCCTTTAATGGAAGTAACTATAATATTATTAATAGCTAGAACTTGCTTAGTGACTAATAAGTCAGGCACTGTTACTACATGCTTTCTATACAATGTGCCATTTAAGTCATTCAGACCTTGGAAATGGACCTTCACTTTAAAAACAATAGGCATCTCACCCTTGGTTGGGTGAAGCCTAGCTTGGTCACTGATGGCTGGCAAAACCCTCAGAAGCCTCCCATCCTGGGGACAGAATCAATTCCTTGTCCCCCTTTCTCAGGCAGCTCGAGGTCCCGGTCACTGAGAGCTAAGGCTAGAGCTTGCCTGAGGTCCAAACAGTGAGTCAAGGCTCCCAGCCAAGGAGAGGAACATAGGTCAGGATCCTGGGGAGGGCAGGCAGAGAATCCAAGAGATTTCTCCCAACGATGGGATTCAGACCCCGGAAGACATTGAGTCTGGCCTCATTGGGCTGGTCTGTGCCTGATCAAGGGGCGACTCCAATCTTGGGGCCCAGCCTGTCTGTTCCTCAGCTGAGCCCACTCAACCACCCACATGGCATGGCCCCTCTTCTCTTCTGCACACTCCCTTCCTTTCATTCTGCTCTTCTCCCCTGCCATGGCCCCAATCCTGTCAATGCCACCCAAGGGCACAGTTTGGTCCCTCAGTGGGACCCAACACTCACCCATGGTTGACTCACTAGGATGGGCCCCTCCAGACGGGGTGTTGGAGTTGTCAGTCTTGTCTCTACTGAGCACTTGCAGGCATGGGTGAGCCTCCCCACGGGGCCGTCCTGTGAATAAACACCACGTCTTTGCAAACAGGTGCCCAACAATGCCTTCCATCTGGCTGCACACAGAAGGGACGGAGAAGCAGGGCTTTGATCAAAACACAGCGGACGGGGAGCCAGCAGGAGCTCTGCTGTCCCTCTCTACCATCTTGGACTTCTCTCCCAAGCAGCTGCCTTCAGATTTTTAAACAGCATTGTTCGGGGAACAGGGGTTTTTGCCAAGGCTGGCACTGGACTCAAAAGAGTTTGAAACTGGGTGGCTCAGAATCACAATGACGGCTCCTTTGCCTTTCCTTTCTTGGCAGGGGTCCTCGCATCCACGAGAAGATGGACAAATCCCACCTACAGAGAAACTTACCGAGGAGAGGCCAGAATTAATTAGCAAGAAGATGTTGTTATACACAGCAGTTCCTTAAGAAATGCACTCATGACTTTCAAGCCCAAAGGTAACTCAAATTAGGCTAATCCAGGATAGACTAGTAAGAATCTGCTCAAGGAGGACAGAAATATTCTGTGTTTCTGCACATCACTTGTACGTCTGTAGGCTCACCCAAGTTCCCCAGGGCCTTTAGATACTGAAAAGTGGTTTTAAATATTGTGCTTGTGCTCTTTAATTTTGCAGCAATCTGTTGTTATTGTCAAGGGCAGGGTGGCTCAACCCGGGCACTATTGACATTTGCAGTGGCTCATTCTCCGTTGTGGGGACCGTCCTGTGCATCATAGGATGGCGAGCAGCCTCCCTGGCCCCAACCCACTCACTAGAATACAGCAGTAGCCCCACATCAACTGTGATAACCAGAAATGTCTCCAGGCACCGCCCAATGTCCCCTGGGGGGCAAAACCGCCAGCCCACCACTTGAGAAGCACCGATTTAGGGAGGAGAAATGGAGAAGGGGGGTGTTCGCACTTATGAAGTAAAATTCAACCCAGCTCCTGCATAAATGTTCACTTCGTCTTAAAGGGGCATCTCTGTGAACAGGATAGTGCCAGGCTTTCCGTTGGAACTTAAATAAAGTTTCTAGTGCTCAACTACCTAGAAAGGAGAATGCGCTAGAACAGATGGGCTGTTTCTGTCGGTCATGTGGTACCTTTGCAATGTCCCTGCTTTCAGACTGGCCCATGTGTGGGCAGCTCAGGTGTTCTCACAAACTGACACAGCAGATAAAGTAAGGGGAATTTTTCTTTTAAGAAAAGAAAAATCGGGACGCCTGAGTGGCTCAGTGGGTTAAGCGTCTGCCTTCGGCTCAGGTCATGATCCCAGAGTCCTGGGATCGAGCCCCGCATCGGGCTCCTTGCTCAGTGGGGAGCCTGCTTATCCCTCTGCCCTGCTTGTGCTCTCTCTCTCTCTCTCTCTGGCAAATAAATAAATTAAAAAAAAAAAACACCAAACATCTCGTAGTGTCTTGAAACGAACCCCCTTAGAACATTTCCAGTTGTGTTTGGTGTTATTAGCTTGACAGACTGTCTGGGCTGGGGAGAAGCTTATAAGATTAGTCACAAATGAAGACAGCATTTCTGAAATTCTTATATGTGTCAATTTTGCGTAAAGTGATAGCCGTCCTCATTGCTCGACCTGTGACTTTATCAGCTACACCTATTAAGAAAAGTGCGGGTCACCAAAAAAAAAAAAAAAAAAAATCTGAATTCCTCTCCCCTGGGGAATCTGGAGTACGGACTGCAAGCTTATATTTATCATTCCTGCAAGTGATGTGCTGTTTATTTAACAAGTATATATAATGATCACCATGGACCAGGTGCTGCCCGAAGTGGTTCATAAATATTAATTCATTTCATACTCATAACAATTCCACGAAGCAAATACTATCTTGGTCCCTGTTTGGTAAGTGGGAACCCAGACGCATAGAGAAGTTCAGCAATGCGCCCAAGGACAGACAGCTGGTAGGGGCAGAGCCACAATGTCACGTTAGTTTGGGGAATTTTTAAAAAGCAGATGAAAAGCTGGAATCGGGCTTCTTGTCCCATTTCTGTCACTTCTGATTTGCCCTTATGTAGACGGCTTAGCTTTGCTGGGCCCAGTTTCCCCAGCTGTAAAGGGATGGAGTTAGATCAGCATTTCCCAAAATGTGGTATCATTACTGGTGGAATAAGAGATTATGTGGGGTAATATATGGATAGAGATTGTTTTCATAGTTATGTATTTTCATGTATATTAAATATATATATTCTCTCTATTTTCTTTTGAACTCGACACATGTACACAAAATATGCCAAACCTGTGATCTCAAGGATCTTGTTGCTTGGGCTGAGACCACAGTGGGTGGTATAGCATCGTAGTTTGGAACCCAAGTTCAGGAAACAGAATCAGAAAGCTGACAAGGTAGGTCCTTGACAGTGACAGGTACCCACCCTGCCAATGTCAACATGGTTGGGTGAGGATGACTCCATTCCCCCACACCTAGGTGGATTTCTGACCCAGGCCTTGCTACACTGATTGCCCTGGAGATGAGCATGTGATCCAAGAAAGCTAGTGCGGCCCCCCGGGGCTTTTGCTGGCACAACGGGGTAAGTCCGGCACTGCCCGGAGCATCTTGTCACCACTTAGAGGTGATAGAGAAAGGACAGAGACACGAGGGCCAGGAGAGGCAGACAGAGAGCCCCAAGGGCACCCTCTGAGCCTCAGAGCCGGCTGCGTAGATGCCAGACCTACCCCTGGACCTTTCTTTTATGTAAGACACACGTCTTCCCTAGTTTGACTTGGGTTTCTGTTCCTCGCAGGGTCTCAATGATCACAGGTAGGAAGGTGGTTTGGGGACTTAGGGACCAGCCACTGTTTCCTAGTATGGGCAGTGAAAGCATCATTGAAAAAGCCATAGCAACTTTGGTGGGGAGTCACATCCACTCCTCTGCTGGAAATGAGAGCTGTGTGTCTCCCTAAGTGTCAGGTAGCATGCAGGAGGGAAGAGAAGCAAACTTCAGGATTGACCTCCCCGAGCCTCAGTTCCTCATCTGTCAAATGGGAATAATAACGTCTCCTGAGTAGGGTCATCCCGGTGCTAAAGAGCATGCCATAAGCAACCTGTCTAATGAAGTGTCCCAACCCAGCAAGTGGTTGTGATCGCCATATTGTGCCGATGTTTTATAGAAATGATAGTGTGGAATGTGATCCTCGCAACAGTCCTACACTTTAAAACCATCAACCCTATTTTACTCCAGAGACACCGGGAGGTGGAGAGGTTAGGTGACTTGTCTGCTGTCATTCAAGCCAGGTCTGACTCACCCAACCCAAGTCCTGGGTGCCTTGAAGTAACATTCCAAGGTCCCAAGCATGAGCCCAAGGAGCCAATCATCAGAGGCAAAGGGGTGTGAAGACCACCGGCGGTGGCGAGAAGAAGTTAGACAAGATAGCAAAGCAAATTCCCCCAAGAGCTCTTCTTGCATCCTGCCCACCTTGGAAACTTCCTTGGAAAATCCTGGGGCTAAGGCTTAGAGGAAAATCAGCTTCATGGAACAAAGGTATAGAATAATCCAGCAAAGCGCCCAGTCCCGATGCATCAAGAGGAGCTGACATTAATACACGACCACAGATCCCAGATGTTGTTATGGTTGGATTACATGGACTTGGAAAGTTCCGGCATGAAATGCCTGAATGATAACAATAGAAAACAGATCAAAAGCCCAAAGAACGAAATGAGGAGAAATGAAAAACAGAAGGAACTGCAGGGGAAGATGAAAGCAGAGAATTTCAATTTGACACCAAAGCGGAGCCAGTGTTTAAGGTTTTGCTGGCAGTTGACCCATATCCAGATGAGATTTTTGCAGCATTATTGGAGGTATGAAATTACCATCTTTGAGTGGTTTTGTAGACTTCTGGGACCTCAGGGTCAAAAGAGTTCCCTGACAGTCTCCTAAGCTCACCCCTCTTTTTAAATAATCTTGGAAGTGATCAGTGTTTGAATCTGCACAGACCCTGTCATGATGAGCTTCTCCATAAAGACCAGGGAGGCCAGAAAGGTAGAAGACGGATTGCAGACACAAACCCCCTGACCAGGCTCATAAGTCTCATTGCACCATGGTTCAGAACACTCTCAGTCTCTCAGTTCAGATAACAGAAAACCCAATTTACACTGACTTTAGCAAAAGAGGAAATGTATTGACACATTCCCAGATAACTGAAAAGTTGAAAGATGCTCCAGCTTCAGGTATGGTTTGATCCAAGAGCTTAAAAAGATGTCACCAGGATTCAGTCTCTCTGTTCCACTCCATAGTTCCTTTATTCTCAAACTTCATGTAGAAAACAATGGCAAATTTCAAGTGTGTATCCTCCCAGGTTTGAGCCCAACAAACCTCTTTCCCAAAAAGTCCCAGCAAAAGACTCATCAAGCCCCACTGACCCTAATCAGGCCATAATCCCCTCCCCATAGCAAGAGGACTATGATGCTCTGATTGACCTGATTCACATGCCTGTACTTAGAACAGGTAGTAAAGTCAACTTTATCCCTAGATTGAGAACTGAGATGAGTGTTTCTCCTGAAAAAGTGGGTCCCATCATTAGGTCAAGGTAGGTGAATGCTGGAAATCAAAACCAAGTGATGTCCACTATTCTGCACCCCAGCCCTGTCCCCTGGATATGACTCCCCTTTTCCATTTTCTCCTGTCATGACAGAATAGGAAGTAATAGCATTATTACCTGGTGCCTAAATCTCAGTGTGATAGATCATCCAAGTAAGAACCATCTACTGAAACCTATCTTGACTCTGCAGTATCCTAGGCCCTGGGGGACACAAAGAGAATCCAAGACCTAGTTCTTATCATGTAGAAACTCACACTCTAGTAAGGTTTAGGAAAATACTGTCCTGAAGGGAGAAATATTTTTTTTAATTTTTTTATTGTTATGTTAATCACCATACATTACATCATTAGTTTTTGATGTAGTGTTCCATGATTCATTGTTTGTGCATAAC